ACTAGAGTAGAGGTGGCACTTTTTGAGAGACTTGTGATCCTCAGGGATTGGAATAGAAACCTTGGGAAGAATTTCTTCATTTTCTTGCTGGGACAAGGCTCTCTCAGCAGATCTCTCTTGCCTTTTAATTTTCTCTTCATCCTGTACTAACAGAGCACGTTCCTGTGTCTGCTTTCACGATAGAAGATCAAGAAAGACAGAGAAAGATGAACAAAATGACAGATGGAAAATGCTCAGAAATGATACTTGGGGATGTGCAAAGGGTTTAGAAAGATCTTTTGGACATTTTATTTTAGCTTTACTTTGCCAACTTACACTAGAGTTTCTAAAAAAACAGTAAGGTGTTCAACATGTAAGTTTTTGAATGAATGAATATTAGGACCCCTGGAAGTTTATGGAATCCTTAGCCATCCTCATTTACATATGATTTTTTTCACATATGAATTTCAGGTCATTTTTTTATTGCTTTGGCATTGCCAATAATTAACAAGCTGAGCAATGCCAGTAAGGGAACATTCTTCTCGCCATTGAGTAATCCTCATATCTCTTCATATAGACATTTAAAATGCCATAATTCAATGTGATAACTAGATTTTGTTCAAGGGAATGAAAGTATTCACCTTACACATTTTAAATATTGCAAAAGAAAAGTAGAAAGTGTAAAATTTTATAGTATGCCTCCAGAGTTCACCCTCAAGAAAGAGGCAAAGGGGGAAAAAAGTGCAACTACTCCCATAAGATCTCAGAATGTGATTAGAAATAATAATGGTAATCATGGAGGTTAATACATTACATTTAGTAAATACTTGACAATTTTAAGGGAAGTTTTCCCCCCAAATGTCCACTTGAGCATTTTTCTCCCCCAGCAATTGCTGTACTCGGCTATCCATAGTGAAGACAGACGTTATCTAGGAAAGGAAAAACTTGGCTCTAAGTTCTCTCAGTTGAGCTAGCCTTCTCTGATCAGTTTGGAAGTTCAACACTGGTTCTTTGCACACCCCTAAGTGATATGTATCAGGGAGAAAGTAGCTAGGGGACTGGTCAGCAAAAAGAAAAAAAAAAGGAAAAGAAAGGATGCAAAATTATAATGAAATTTAAAAGAAAAGTGGGAGAAGAAAGACAACATAAAAAGAATAGGGTATAATTAAATTCATTTTCTCTCTGAATACATATTTACATCTGCATGCAGCTTTTCCAACTAGCCATGCGCCGAAATAAGCATATCGAAAGCTGCTAATGCTGCAGCAGTGAATCTGTACCGTGTTAGGCCAAAAGGCTGTGGGCGTGAATTAACTAGTGTAGCCAAAAGAAAAGAAACTTATTCAGCAGCTGTGGTTCAGTTCTGAGGGAATTCTTTGCTTGGTGCCATGACAAGAGCAAACTCTGAGTGAGAAGCACAAGTTGTAACAGCATGATTACCTCTGGCCCACCAACCTTTCTTTCCGAGGGGAGAACAGAGGTTTTCTTCACCTGGGCATACACAAATTATATAAAATTCAGTTGCCTTACAATGCAACAACAATGCTGCTAAAGGTGGAAGAGGTATCCCCAGAAAATAGAAATATTATCCTTATTATTAAAGAAAAAGATATGCCAGAAAATGGAATTATCCCAGTATAAAAGATCTTAACAGTATAATTCTTATTTATTCCACACTTCAGTTAGAGGGACAAATATATGTAAGTATAGAGCAAAAATTGCTCAAGTATTTCCTGGAGAGCTAACTTAGTTTATAAAGTGTCATTTCTTTAAAGATCACAGAATGACACTGCTATTCCCCAAACCAGCCCTGAGATGATTTCTGAAGGATTTCTATTTAAAGACCCATTTTCTGGAAATGGAGCTTGATAGAGATTTACCCAATCTCATTCAAGATAGTATCAAGCTGCTTTTTTGAACATCTTTGGTCAGTTTGCAGAGTCAAAATTAGAACTTGTAGAAAATACACAGTTATCATCTGCAGCTAGGGTTAGTAGGTAAGACAGCAACAAGCTACTTTTTCACTTGTAGCACTTCCCAGTTAGCAAGGGCACTGCAGATCATCCACTCCAAGAGCAATGACTTGTTCAAAGCCAGTCAGTTAGGCTTTAATTAGCCAGACTCTCTCAGTCAAATCACAACTACTATTTGACCTTTATGTTTCTTATTTCTATGGTCTCACCCATAAATTAGGGCACATGACCCCAATTTAGAGCATAAAACTAATGTCTACTGGGAACAGAGGCTGAGAAGACAAGGAAGAGCAGGAATTCCCATGTCCTATCATCTCTGGTGGCTGCCCACTAACTTGGGTATCTTCCAGCCTCATTTGTAAAACAGCTTTAACTTGTTCAGAGAACTGTTAGCCAATTTTGTTGTTGTTGTTGCTGGTTGTGGGGCTTGAACTCTGGGCCTAGTGCTGTTCCTCAGCTTTTCAGCTCAAGGAGAGCGCTCTACCACTTGAGCCACAGCACCACTTCTGGTTTTCTAGTGCTTTATTGGAGATAAAAGTCTTATGGACTTTCCTGCCCAGGCTGGCTTTGAACTGCAATCCTCAGATCTCAACCTCTTGTGGAGCTAGGATTACAGGTATGAGCCACCAGCACCTGGCCCCTAAGTTTCTTTTTTTGGTAGAGGGCTGAAGGTTTGAAACTAGAATTTTGTACTTTTTACATAGGTACTCTATCACCTAATCCATGCCTCCAGCCCTTTATGCTCTGGTCATTTTTGAGGTAGGATCTCTTTTTTCTAGGCTGGCCTGGACAGCAATTCTCTTATTAACACTTTATTATACTTATATTATTATAATACTATATATTATATTAACATTATTATATCACTGTAAGTTGAATGACAAACTTGAATGACCATCATGCCCAGCTATTAGTTGAGATGAGATCATGAAAACTTTGCATGAGCTAGCTTCAAATCATAATCCTCTTGAGTTCTGCCTCCCAAAAAACTGGAACTGCAGATGTAAGCTACATACAATTGGTTTTCTTTCCTTTTCTTCTTCTTTTCTTCCTTCCTTCTTTTCTTTCTTTCCCTCCCTCCCTCCCTTCCTCTCTCTCTCTCTCTCTCTTTCTTTCTTTCTTTTGCATTTCTAAGCTAGGATCTTACTATGTCATCCAGTCCTCCTGAGGCTCCTAGACTCAAGGGTCCTTTTGCTTCAGCTTCTTGAGTAGCTGGGTCTATAGGCATATGCCACTGTGGTTGGCTAAACCACAGTTTTTAGTTAGGACATCATTTTATGTTTCTTAACTACAACTGCTATTGTTTTGGGGTAAAACAAGCATACAATTTAAAAATCATTACAATCATTCCTTGAGTCATTGTGATTATATAAATATTTAATATGTACTGACTAAGTAACTTTTAAGATTTTTTTTTGGGGGGGGGGGGGGTCCGGTCGTGGGGCCTGGACTCTGGGCCTGGGCACTGTCCCTCAGCTCTTCAGCTCAAGGCTAGAGCTCTACCACTTGAGCCACAGCGCCACTTCAGGCTTTTTTTTTTTTTTTTTTGCTTATGTGGTACTGAGGAATTGAACCCAGGGCCTCATGCATGCAAGGCAAGCGCTCTACCACTGAGCCACCTTCCCAGCCCCTTTTAAGATATTTTCATTAAACAAATGCATTTATTTCAAGTATAGTGTGTGTGTGTGTGTGTGTTTCATTAAACAAATGCATTTATTTCAAGTATAGGGTGTGTGTGTGTGTGTGTGTGTGTGTGTGTGTGTGTGTGTGTGTGTGTGTGTGTGTGTGTGTGTGTGTGTGTGTGTGTGTGTGTGTGTGTGTGTGTGTGTGTGTGTGTGTGTGTGTGTGTGTGTGCTGGACCAAGGCTTGGAACTGTCCCTGAGCCGTTTTATTCAAGGCCATTTGAGCCACAGCTCCACTCCTAGTTTTTTCGGTCATTAATTGGAGACAAAAGTCTTTTAGACATTCCTGCCCAGGCTGACTTGGAACTTTGATCCTGAGATCTCAGTCTTGTGAGTAGTTAGGATTACAGGTGTGAGCCATCAGTGCCAGGCTTAGATGTAGGATCTTTAAAATAGTTAATGATACAATAATAAAGAACAGAATTCTTTTTTTTTTTGGTCTGGTCGTGGGGCCTGAACTCTGGGCCTGGGTGCTGTTCCTCAGCTCTTCAGCTCAAGGCTAGCGCTCTACCACTTGAGCCACAGCGCCACTTTCGGCTTTTTTCTTATGTGGTGCTGAGGAATCGAACCCAGGGTCTCAGGCATGCAAGGCAAGCGAAGAACAGAATTCTTAAACTTCTATTTCCTGCACTAGAAGTGAAAATGTTTCTCTCTTCTCCATTTCTCCCTACTCTAACCTTATTATACTAAAACAAATTCTTGCTAAAACCTAAAAAAAAAAATAGAAATAAAAAAGAACAGTCCCTGAAAAGTATTTCTGGCTTATTCTAATTGTGACAATCTTATTAAAAACATCTTTTGAAAAATGTGATACTGTTATTAAACATAAAAATAAATCACCCGTTGTTTTTCTTAAATTAAAATATAATAATTTTATACTTGGTGTTTCGCATTGTCTGGCTTATAGACTTCCTTGGTATATTATATAATTGTGGGCAATCATTCCAGACATTTCTAAGCTGTACAAATGTTCAAATAAAATTTTAAAACATATTAGTCCCTTTCCAATTTTAACCTTACTAAATTTAGCAAACTTTCTGGAAGGCACATTTTGAACATAAACAAAGCTTTACTGGCTTATAGTCAGTTTATAAACACACACTAGCCAGAAGCACGCAGCTACAGAGCCAGTTCTCAGAGCCTAATCATCTACTAGTAACTCTAAATGGGTACTACAATGAGCTGAGTTGCATCCACAATTTAAAAACAGTAAGTGCTTGATTATGAATGCCTTAACACTACAATAAATTGTAGTGAGACCAAAGAAAATTTCAATTCTCACTATCTTCTCAGATATAGGGTATTAACATACAAAAACATTTATTCTATTCCTCCTCATAATCAGTCATGTGGACAAAGTACTCACTCCTTCTCCCGTGGGGATCTGCCCATTGACATTAAGAGTTCGGAAGGGCGAGTGCGTAGACAGGCGTTTATCCCACTCGCTAGGCCGCGGCTCTGGTACAGACTCCATGAAGTTCTTTTTCAGCTCACTGATACTGGCATGATGTTTTCTGATCTCTTCTTGACTCTTGTCTAAATCCTAGAGTTGAGAGGACAAAGATGTAAAATAATAAATAATTAGGGCAAAAATCACATTAAGTGCGACCCATCAGAGACTGGACACTGGTAGAAAACACACCATATCCAGGGTAGATGTTACTAACCCATGAATTACATTTAAGTTGTAAATATACAACATAGTATATTTGCTTGGTTTCTTTTCTTTCTTTTTCTTTCTTTTTTAAACAAAGTGCTTTTCTTGGAAGCAGTAAATCATCACAATCCAACAGCTCTCAGCAATTATATAACTCATAAAGAGTGACTTCTTAATTTTATGACTTTTTTCCAATATGATACAAAACCAGATCTCCAACTCCTCATCTCAAGAACATAATCCCACAATTCAATCAGCCTCAGCTTGATTAACAGCCAATTTAGGCTCAGCTCAGGCAGAATTGTAATAGTGACAGATAAAGAAACTATTAAATGAAAGATATGGTGAAGGGTTTCAACTTCTAACACAGGCTGTTGTGTCTTGCTGAGCAACAGCAGTACACTATCTCTCTATATCCACTGGAGATAATCATGTTACTCAATTAGCAAATGGAGAGTTGTTCTTTCTGATACCTAAGGATAGTTCTTTAAAAAAATTTTTTTTGTGGTATTGGGCCTCATGCCTGCTAAGTTTCTCTACCACTTGAGCCATGCCTCCAGTCCTACTTTTTGCTGGCTATTTTGGAGATAGATCTTTTCTGCCTGGGCTGCCTTTGAATGGAGATCCTTTAGATCTCAGTGTTTCATTTTGATAGATGAATGTAAGTAGCAAAATTCCTAGATCCAGTCTACAAAGTCAATCGTTACTACCTGAAGGAGAGGGGGCAGGGAGAATCACTTTTTTCTTTGAATGACTTTTTCCTTTGTCAATATTATTTACACAAGATAAAAGCCTCATGTTTCTATATTCTAATAGCTTTACTCATTTCTTAGTATAGTTTAAAACAGAGACTTTTTGGAGCTGAGGTTACAGCTCAGTGGTAGAGTGTTTGCTTACCATGCCCAAGGCCCTTGGTTCCATCTCCAGTACCAATGTATTGGAAGTGATAACAAGAGCTCAAATGCTTTGGGTATCAATTTAAAATAACCTAACTGTTCCAGCAGATTTGAATATTGGGTAATTAGAGATAGAAGCAAGCTCTTAAAGAGAATATTCTAGGGATGCGTGATCAAAACTAAGCTTAATAAAGCACAGGCTAGAAATACTAAGATGTATTAAAAAAAAAAAAGAGAGAGATATAACAACTTTCAAAAAGAACATTTGGCCAAAAATAGTCTGGTGAATTTAACTTGTAGACAAAGACTCAAATGCTCTTTGTCCAACAACACTTAAAAAAAAAAACCCTCAAAACTTTGAGCTTGAGGGGCTGGGAAGGTGGCTCAGTGGTAGAGCGCTTGCCTTGCATGCATGAGGCCCTGGGTTCGATTCCTCAGCACCACATAAGCAAAAAGAAAAAAGCTGGAAGTGGCGCTGTAGCTCAAGTGGTAGAGCTCTAGCCTTGAGCTGAAGAGCTGAGGGACAGCGCCCAGGCCCAGAGTTCAGGCCCCACAGCCAGACCCCCCCCCCCAAAAAAAAACCAAAAAAAACTTTGAGCTTGAGATCAAAATATTTGGAATCCTTCACCCGATGACTGTAGAAATTTTCTGTGTTTATTATATATCAAAGCAACTCTGTATCCAAGGAAAGTATAATGCTAAATATATCTCTTAATATCCTGTGTGGATTTGGGGATTAGTTTTTCTTTTTTGGCTTTGTGAGAAATAGCTTCATTTTGGGGGAGGGGAAGAGAGGAAATTAATTCTTTTAAATCAACTTTATAAAATTTTTTGTTTAAAAGTTTTGTTTTGTTTTTCTGAGAACAACACAGGTTTCAGCTAAATAAAACTTTTCTGAAAGTAGTATCAAGAAAAATAGGGCCGGGAGCCAGTGGCTCACGCCTGTAATCCTAGCTACTCAGGAGGCTGAAATCTAAGGATCATGGTTCAAAGTCTGCTCAGGCAGGAAAGTCCGTGAGACTTATCTCCAATAAACCACTAGAAAACCAGAAGTGGCACTATGGCTCCAGCGGTAGAGCACTCGCCTTGAGCTGAAGAGCTGAGGGACAGTGTCTAGGCCCAGAGTTCAAGCCCCACGACTGACCAAAAAAAAGAAAAAAGAAAGAAAAAAAAGAAAAATAGGATAAAAAAATGAATCTGGAGATAATTTTTTAGCATATTTACTTATTAGTGTCTTCTTTTTACTTTTGCAAGACTGACCCATATATATTTACTTTGATATCAAAGAGAAAACCCCAAATTGAAACCACATAGATCTCTCTTTCATAAGAGTATTTCTTGCTTGTTGGGATAAAATATGAATGTATCTTATAAATATGGGCTTCACCCAGAGGAAACAAGTTTGTTTGCATTTGGTCCTTGCTGAAAGCAAAAAAGGCATATTTACTACTAAAGAAAAGCACAGACAAGTTTAAAGACTCAGTGTTGGCCTGAGCAACTGAGACCCATGAAGCATGTAAGGTAAGGCCCTGTGACCCAGCCCCTGACTGGAAATGAAATCTGTTTGTGCTAAGAACAACTCACCACAACTGGGAAGGTTAAAAAGTGTGAATGGAGCAAAACAAAAACAAGCAAGTGATGCTGCGATAAAACCATAACTCTCTGAGTTAGCCTCTTACACGAGAGCCATGATTTTGTGTATTTCCTTGTATATCTCTTTTTGCCTAACTTTCAATTGGCTTGAAACCTGAGAAAAACAAATTTTTCCATAAAACCAATAGCTTCTAAGGGAGTTTCTCCATCCTTCTTAGCTGGCTTTGATGGAAACCTGTGGGGGCACAGAATAAAATTAAGATCTCAAAGGGACCTGTTCCAAATAGAATTTGTCACAGACATTTGCTACAGGTTCTCTTTGGGAGATGGAGGAGGAGGCGGTAGATCTAAAAATGAACTCGACCTTATTTGTGCCAGAACAAAGCGTTAGTTGGGGTGGGGGGAGGAAAAGGAATGCTTAAAAAAAAAAAACTGCTAGAGTGACAGATAACTTGACAGAACTTTCTTGGGGGTGGGGTGGAGAAACACCTTTATAATTACTAAAGAATGATGATCAGTCAAGCTGTTTGGGCTATGTTCAGATTAGATAACTTTTGAGGCCTATGATCTTATAATTTTGGCAGCAATCAAATCAAACAGTTCATTAAGTATAAAATATTCTCAAAAGTTAGTAGTTTTAATTCTCAAACACACACTTATTTAGACATCCCCTCTCGTGGCTGTCAGTAAAATGCCAGAGGAAAAAAAACATATCACATACAGGGACTTTGTGAGTCTCAGAAGTCATAACACACTTTATGAAACAAGTGATAAATATATGATTGGTACTGCAGGTTCCAGCTAAGGGAGCACTAAGGATGCACTGGTCAGGACAGTTACCTTGGAAAACTTTTCCTTATAGAATACAAAAATATATAAAAATACTTGCTATTGTTCCCACTATACAACACATGTTTGATAAAGGCTGACATACTTTTTATTGCTTTTATCAAGGTTCTTTATAAATATCAGATACTCACATTTTTGGTATTTTTGCCAATATTACACTTTGGCAAAAAAAAGTGTGATGACACTAAATAATTATTAGGTTAACTTTTTTTTTTCTTTTTGGTTGGTCATGGGGCTTGAACTGTGGGCTTGGGCACTGTCCCTGAGCTCTTCAAGTTCAAGGTGAGCGCTCTATCACTTGAGCTACAGTGCCACTTCCAGTTTTCTGGTGGTTTATTAGAGATAAGAGTCTCATGGACTTTCCTGCCAGGGCTGGCTTTGAATCACAATCCTCAGATCTCAGCCTCCTGAGTAGCTAGGATTACAGGCATGAGCCACCAGCACTTGGTTAGCTCAACTTTTTAAAGTTTTTTTCAAACTTCTAGTTTGATGATATTTAGCATATTTAATGTATTTTCATCTTTTAAGTCTCAATTAAAATGTTATCTCTTCAGAGAGATCTTTCCTGTCAATCTTACTTGAAGTAAATCCTCTTTGTTAGCAAAGTATACTAATTATTTCCTACGAAACTTTTCTAATAACTTGTAATCATCTTATTGCTATTTGTTTACCTGAATTGTTTCTTTCCTCCTCAGTTCCCCACATTATAAGCTTTCTGAAGGCAAAAACCATGCTTTAAATTTCCTTAACAGTTAAAATGAATCCCTAACATAAGAATTTATGTTTCTTTCTTGTGTTTCTGCCTTGAATGGAGCTATAAAGCTATCTGGTCATTGACTTCTATCTAAAAGTATTTTTGATATACAAACTAACTTGATCTCGGTTTTTTTTCCATGTGGAATAATTACAATTTCCATATTTCTCCTCATGGAATTCCCCTAACCTTATTAGTTTGACACTTTAAGATAAAATAAACTACACTAATATGAGTCGATTAAAAACTAAGCAGTGTTGAATATAACAAGAAAATAACCTTATAATTCCTATAGCAGATAATGATACTATTTTCTAAGTGTAAAATTGTAGTTATAAAATTATATAACTTCTCAGTCCTAGCTTTCCAATATATCAGTTCTATGACCATAGAAAAATTACTTAATATCTCTAAGTTTCAACTTTCTCATATTTAAAATAAAAATTCTATAGCCACAGGCATGTTTGTGTGTGCATACATGCAATCACACAAGTCTTGGGTCTTGAACTGAGGGCCTGCATACTGCTCTTGAGCTTCTTTACTCACGGCTAGCACTCTACCTCTTACTTGAGCCACAGCTCCACTTCTGGCTTTTTTGGAAGTTAACTAGAGCTAAGAGTCTCATGGGCTTTCCTGCCCAGGTTGGCTTTGAACAGCAATCCTTGGATCTCAGCCTCCTGGATAGCTAGAATTATAGGCATGAGCCACCAGCACTCAGCACATAGGCTTACTTTGTGTGTGTGTTTTGTCAATCGTAGGGTTTGAACTCTGGGCCTGGGTGCTGTCCCTAAGCTCTTCAGCTCAAAGCAAAGGCTCTACCACTTGAGCCACAGTGCCACTTCCGGTTTTCTGGTGGTTAATTGGAGATAAGAGTCTCACGGACTTTCCTGCCTGGGCTGGCTTTGAACCGCCATCCTAGCACTGGGCCATAGGTTTGTTTTAATGATAAAACCACCTTATACTTACTAAATGCTGGCTCCTTTCTTTCTTGTATCTTACCACTGCCCAACCTTACTTCAGTAATATCCTACTATCTTTAGTATTATAAGTCCATTTTGAACTAAATCCAAGGAACTTTTAGCAGTGATGTAGAATTTTGGACAAAGGGGTGAAACAAGGAACCAGGAGAAGCAGAGTCCCAATCATATATTTTTTTTTGCAGGGGCAGGGATAGTGTGATAGATGGAAACTTAAAAAGAATCAGAAAGTGAGAAAGTTGCGTGTCATAATGTTTATTAACATGCAAAGAAATCTTAAACCTAAAATTCTCTCATGCAATGACATGCAAACCCAAAGGCAGAACAGAATAAAGAAAAGGGGGTCAGCAAAGAATGCAGAAGGTTCCAGGCAACCAACTGAAATAAGCTTCAAGTTCATACAAACCTCCAACATTAAATTGCTATGTCTGATATAAATGTTTTCACCATCTAGTCTCTCTCTCTTTTTCTGTGAAAATGAAAGGGGGAAAAACAGAAAAGCATAAAAAATTAAAATTTATTCTTGCGGGAGAAAACTGCAAATTGGCAAACCAAAAAAATACTTAAAATTAAATGTCTGCAGTGCAACATATGCCAACATGAAATGGTCACAGAACCACGAGGACACACAGAGAACATGGTTACACTAGAAAATAGATGACCTTGTTTATGAAGGATGAAAGACTTGATGATGTTATTTAAATAGACAGTGCTCCTGGCTTCATTGGCTTCTTATGTAATAAGCTATTTTATGTTCAGTTTTGAAACTGAAGTATTTAAATGTTACCCTAATATATGACCCTGAAAAGATATGACACTCCATGTATCTTAGGTTAGGGAAATGCTTTAAAAACATTAGCCCCCAAAAAAGCCACATTAGCTTTTGGGAGGCGTTTCATGTATAGTATTACTGCAATATCAAGATCTCTAAGATCTTTTATTAAAAAGATTTAATAATATTTTATACTTAATCAGCCAATAAATATGTTCAGTAAGAACTGGTACATCCCCCTAGGTAGTTAGGAAGAATGAGGCACACAGAAGTCAAATCATAGTTACTAACAATACTGGGATTTGTTGCTATGATGGTTTTTCTGAGGAATGTGTGTAAAATATCATCAATGATTCCAAGGATATGATGTCATTGTGCAATTGTTCTTTCAAAGTTTGAAAACAAAGGGTAGGTTTGAGCCTAACTAATATTTGTTAGAAAAGAATTTTCCTACTGAAATGCTTGCTTAAAGTAAAAGATTATAATTTCTTTAGCATATATGTGTGTATATATATATATATATACATATGCACACATATATACATATGTGTATGTATACTTGCTTCTTCAAAGTAACTTCTGATTAAGAGAAATCAATGAAAAGAATGGATCACTGTCTTTTTAATGCACTGTAAGTCAGAGAGTGAAATGGAAATGGAGTTCTACGAAAGTGAAAAATGGCTAACCTTCCTCATTCTTATCAGATCTTCAGTTTTTTCTGCAAGCTTCTGTTTGACCATAATTCAAAAAAGAAAAAAATGATAAAATATTGGCTCATTGACTTTTTAAAATCTTCATCTTACAATTATTTTATGGAGAGGGCGATGAGGGAGAAGAAAAAACGGAGGGGAGGGGGACAACAGGGGCTTGTTGGCACAAACCTGTGTTTGGTCACCGTTTGAGGTAGGTACTGTGACCTCGATGTGGGTTTTTTCCACCTACATTTAAGAAATAAAGTAGTAAAAACATTTTAAGTTAACAGGTTTCTATGCACAGGGTTTTCAAATACGCTGCATCATTAATCTGGGGTGAAATATGTTGCTAAGTCATAATCATGATGCAGTCTTACGAGGCTGTTCCAGGGAAAGATGGTATTCCTAACAATGATGTGGTAGTTCACTATCACATTTCCAAGGCTGAAGAGGTTAATACAGACATTCAAATTATTATAAGAGAAAGGTAGGATAATCTTTCCATGGATTAAGGAAATATTTTTATATTTATTTATTTTGAAAAACTACTAAACTAAAGGAGGCTTCTTTAATATTATAACCATATGTTTTTGTTTTGCTTTTTTTTAATGATCTGGAAATACTCTAATATTTTTAAACAAATTTATAAATGAAGTTACCAATGTCTAATATATATTATAGAAATAAATAGGTAAGTTTTAGTTTAAAACACACATGTAAAAAACAATATATGACACCAAACAGGTAAATACAAAAGATTTGTTAGTTGACGCATACATTGAAGAAGGAAGTTTCAATCTTCAGCGTATTACATAACAAAACATCCAAATAAACCCCATCCAAATTGTAGCTGACATATGTCATTATTTTCAGGGCTGATTTATAAATAAGCACACACAGGCCTCTGCTCCCACATTCTACACAGCAGTCCTCATTCTAGGAATACAGAGCAAACATTTTTGGCAGAAGGACAAGATTTGTTTCTAACATCAGGAAAAGAATATCTAAAGTTGTCTATGTAACTATGAAATACCTTTAGTAATAAAAATTTGATATATGAAAATATAGTACTTTAAAAAATATATAGTACTTTTTAAAAAGTACTTTTCTCAAAGAACTCCCGCTCATCTGGTTGAACCACTACTAAATATCCTCATGCTGCTGATCACAAATATGGTATATAACATGTGAACACTGTTATATATTACAGACTGTGGTAGACAATTTGCTCCAGGGAAGTTAGAATGAACTTGTGACTTTGAAATTATGTAATCATTTAATCACAATCAAAAAAAAAAAAAAAAAAAGAACCTCGGGGAAGGGAGGGAGGGAGGGGATGGTAGGGGGAAAACAATGGAGGGGGTAACAATGTTCAAGAGGAAGTGTACTCATAACCTCACTCATGTAACTGTGACCCTCTGTATAGTAGCTTTACAATAAAAAAAAAAAAAAAAAAAGTACTTTTCTATTAAGAGGAAACAAACTAAGAGTGACAACTGCCTAAAGCACTGGTTATGGTTATTTCAAAATCAGAAAACAAATTGTCTAAGAGATGAAACAATTACTGTGTATCATTAAATTCTTTCTAAAATCTCATCTACATGTGGTTGGTAAGCAGCATTACCAGGGTGAACAATGTCATTGTGCTACTTTCTATAGGACTGAATGGAAAAAATGTAAGATAATGCACTGTGGCTCAAGTGGTAGAGCACTAGCTTTGAGCTGAAGAGCTCAGGGATAGCGCCCAACCCCAGAGTTCAAGGCCCACGATCAACAAAAACAAAAAGAAAAAGCTTTGATTCTCTTGCCTTGAGAATACAAAATTAACTAGAAAATGAAATCCAAGCCTGGCACCGGTGGCTCACGCCTGTAATCCTAGCTACTCAGGAGGCTGAGATCTGAGGATCGCGGTTCAAAGCCAGCCCAGGCAGGAAAGTCTATGAAACTCTTTTTTTTTTTTTTTTTGGGTCTGGTCATGGGGCCTGAACTCTGGGCCTGGGCGCTGTCCCTCAGCTCTTCAGCTCAAGGCTAGCACTCTACCACGTGAGCCACAGCACCACTTCCGGCTTTTTTCTGTTTGCTTATGTGGTACTGAGGAATCGAACCCAGGGCCTCATGCATGTAAGGCAAGCGCTCTACCACTGAGCCACCTTCCCAGCCCCCTCTATGAGACTCTTATCTGCAATAAACCACTAGAAAACTGGAAGTGGCGCTGTGGCTCAAGTGGTAGAGTGCCAGCTTTGAGCTGAAGAGCGCAGGGACAGCACCCAAACCCAGAGTTCAAGCCCCACGACCGACCAAAAAAAAAAAAAAAAACAAGCCAAAAACCAAACTTTGTAGTACTATCAAATGAAAGCAGCAGTTTTTGTTGATCAAATATAGCAAAAACAGAGCCAGACTGTCCACTGTTTTACAGGGAAACTAGATATTGATCTGGTTCCAATAGAATACTATTAATCCAAGGTGAAAGCACTTACTTGGGCCTTATTCAGTCTAAAGTTTAAGAAACATAAAAATGCAATTCTTGTTGAGTGTTGCTAGTTCATGTAATCCAAGCTACTGAGGGGGACTAGATCTAAGAATTGTGGTTTGAGCCGCCTGGAGCAGAAAAGTCCATGAGACACTCTCTAACAGAAAAGCACCACTAGAAATGTGGCTCAAGTGGTAGAATGTTCACTAGAGGCAAAAAAGCTGAATAAAAGAGAGGCTCTGAGTTCAAGCCCTGGTACAATACAAAAAATAAAATGAAATAAAAACAATTCTTATGATTGCCATCTCATAAAATTCCTGTTGACAATAGTGATATTTGCATTTACTTTAATAACCCTGAACTAGCACCTCAACTGCATCATTGTTTAAATGTAGCTAAAAAGCTTATTAACATTTAGGAAAAGGAAATATAGCTCAAGTGGTAGATCCAGACTTAAGCAAAAAAGCCAAGCAAGCACATCAGGCCCTGAGCTCAAGCCCAGCATGCGCACGTGTGTGCGCACGTGCACACGCATGCGCATGTGCACACACACACGTTTAAAAAAAAAACCATAACATTTAAAGATCATCTTAGCCAGATCATCTCAGCTGGAGGCTCATGACTGTAATTCTAGATACTCAGGAGGCTGAGATCAAGAGGATTGCAGCTCAAAATTAGCCAGAGCAGAAAGTCTGAGAGATCCCATCTCTCCAAAATAACCAGCAAAAAGTTCATCAGGAGGCATGGTCAAGTGAGAGAGCACCAGTCATAAGCAAGAAAACCAAGTGAGCAAGTGTTCAAACCCTGGTACCAGAAAAAAAAAAGAATGTGTGTGTGTGTGTGTGTGTGTGTACATCTTATATATAATAGAAGATCAGCCTATTATTGTTACTTCTGGGAGATCTGCTAATTGGTGATTTCAACTCAGTGTGATGACTATGACTCCAATTAACTAAGAATCATAAACAATTCAGCAGCATAATCTCTCCTACGAAACAGAACTTCTCTTTGTAAAGCTTCTTACAATTGAAACAACCATATTAATGTGCTTCTGTTATTTATATATATATTCACTTTAGGAAACCAAATTGTGGCTTAATGACAATAGTAGGCTGAATCTTAAACAACATTCACATTCTTTCTGGATGAGTAGAAATTATTTTAAAAAGCAATCTTGCTGGTACACGTTACAAAGCCTGTTTGTCTAGGTATGGGTCATCTGAAAACTTTTTTTTTTTTTTTTTTTGCCAGTCCTAGGGCTTGAACTCAGGGCCTGGGTACTGTCCCTGAGCTTCTTTTTGCTCAAGGCTAGCACTCTACCATTTGAGCCTCAATGCCACTTCCAGCTTTTTCTGTTTATGTGGTACTGAGGAATTGAACCCAGGGCTTCATGCATGTTAGGCAAACACTCCACTACTTAGCCACATTCCCACCCCCTGAAAACTTTTTTTTTTTTTTGGTTGGGGGGTCCGGTCGTGGGCCTGAACCCTGGGCCTGGGCACTGTCCCTCAGCTCTTCAGCTCAAGGCTAGCATTCTACCACTTGAGTCACAGCGCCACTTCCGGCTTCTTTTTTCTGCTTATGTGGTGCTGAGGAATCAAACCCAGGGCCTCATGCATGCAAGGCAAGCGCTCTACCACTGAGCCACCTTCCCAGCACTGAAAACTTCTTGAATGGATAGACAGCTTATACTTTTTAGGATGAAATTCTATGAAAATACTTTATAGGTTTATGAGAAACTTCTTTTGGAAAGAATAAAGAAGAAATAACTTTGTTGAGATTTTATAACATTTGGTTACTTTGAAAATTTTCCTTGTCAAGGAGTTAAGACCTTGATACCAGAACATGAATTGGCTTTATCTGTGGACTTTCAGACATACCTTCCACGCTTCTGTGGGCTCTGGCTCAGCTTGCTCAGGTGGCTCTTCTTTCACTTCAGCCTTCACTGTTTCCTTTTGTGTTTTTTTGTCAGATGCTCCTGGTACAATGCCCTCTGTGACCTGACTCTGAGCAATGGCTGGGGCAGAGGTGGGTCGAGGACTTCTGTCTGTTGAGTCAGCAGCTGCTGTTTGATACAAAAGAGAAAAGAGAATAATAAGTGAAGGCAAGAGCCACTGTACTACTATAAAAGCCTCTAAGAAAAGTAGGTATAAGTTGAGGATATACAGAAATGCCCATCATACAGAAGGTAAAAATAAATCATCAGTGCTTTTCTGGCAACCAAGGGCGATGAGTACCTTTGAAAGAAAAGCTAAGATTTGTTTATGACCATGTGTCATAAATGCTAATTTCAGGGAGGAAACGATCAAAGTAAGAAAAAATATCTTAAAATGTATTAATCTTGTAATTTATTACTTTCAAGAATCTACAATGTAGTCTATGGAGGAAAAAAGTTGGTAATCAAGTCTACATGGTTTCTGGAACCTAAAAATATATTCTAGGAAAAAGGAATTTAGATTGACTTTTTTCCCTGTGAGTATCTTTGGAATGATTACAAAACAGCTTGATAAATGACTCTTCTGATAAGACATGTACTACTTTTTGATGCTTGTCCAGGGCAAATCTTTAAGCCATCTGTTTTCCTTTCTCATAATAAATCATTTGTCTAAAATAATATGAAACCAGGCACAAGTGGCCCATGCCTATAATCCAAGCTACTCAGGAAACTGAGATCTGAGGATCATGACTCAATGCCAACCTGAGCAGACAAATCAGTGAGACTCTTATCTCCAATTAACCAGCAAAAAGCCAGAAGTGGAGGAATGGCACAAGTGGTAGGTGTCAGGTATGAGCAAAAGAGATGAACAATAGTGAAGCCCTTGAATTTAAGCCTTAGTATTGGTGTTGGTGTGTTGTACACACATGCACACACATGCACACACACACACACACACACACACACACACACACACACACACACAAGAATTCAAAATCTTTGACTTTCCAGCTGGGCACTAGTGGCTCATGTCTGTAATCCTAGCTAGAGATCTGAGGATTGCAGATTGAAGCCAACCTGGGCAGAGAAGTCTCCATAAGACTCCTATCTCCTATTAACTACTCAAAAAAAAAAAAAAAAAATTCAGAAGTGGCACTGTGGCTTAAGTGGTAGAGCACTAGCCTTGAGCACAAAGAGGCTCAGAGACAGTGCCCTGGCCCTGAGTTCAAGCTCCAGGACTGGCAAAAAAACAAAAACAAAAACAAAAAACAAAAAAACTTCCATCATAAAAGCAAAATATAACCACCTTTGGAATTCTGTCCTACCCTCTCTCAAAGTCTTATCAATGCATTATAGCTCCTATTCTTTGAAATATTTAGAATAGTGGTTCTCAGTTCTGGATTATTTTACCTCCAGAGAACAGCTGTAAATGTCTGAAAACATTTTTGATTGTTACAAATGGGGAGACATCTAGTGGTATTGACATCTAGTACAAAAAAGCCCAGGCTGCTGGGTAGACAAACCTTGATTTAAGAAGACTGCAGACTGTCACAGAGAATAGAGAAAATACACAATATAGACTGAGAGAATAACAATATAGACTGACAATACAAGTTCCAACTTTCCACAAAATTAATTTTTATTTGGGTTTGAATTATTTGTAGCATTCAAGTTTTAGATGAGCTTACTGCAAAATAGTCTTTGAGGGATTAGAGATGTAGTTCAATGGTACAGTGCTTGCCTAGTGTGCAACAGAGGAGGTCTTAGGTTCTATCCTCAAAACAAAACAAATACTCAGGCACTCAGATAGTATTTAAGCATTACACACTTTGTAGTTAAACCTTACTTATTTGACATTGTCTAGGAATGAAGTTGTTTTTTCAACGTGATTAAATTATAATAGACCAACCATTCTTTTACTGAGATTTTTAAATCTTCTTCATGGAAATCTTCACAATTTACATTACATTCTTTCCTTCCTTTTTAAGCTAGCTACACTAGACATAATTTATTCTAGTAATTTAAGTTTAGATGCTGTAAAAATTAAGTAAAAGAAAGGAATTCCTAAAAATAGAACAGACTAAGAAAGTAAAATTCACAGCTAATATTCACATAGCACCAATTTAAAAAAGGAATGCTTACTACCCTGTAATGATCTCCAGTGAAAGAAGTAAGTTCCAGGAGGATATTTAGGAAAATAACAGGAATTTTAAAATCCTGTTTTATTTTACAATGAACATTTTGTGGCCTCTTGCAAGTCCTTCCTCCTAATGGGTGCTCCTAGCCAGTCAATGTAAGAATGGCAGATGGCAGAACAAAGCTAACAAAACCTGGTGGTGTGACAAAATATTTTGCTCACAGTTGTATTAAAGTATCGTTATACATGTGTATTCACACCTCCTCTCAAAAGAATTAATTCAATCCTGCCTGGCGTTGTAGAAACAGAGCCTATGTTTCACCATGTGTTATTTTGCCTCTTGGATTTGGTTTGAATCCAACACTAATATTGCAGAGCCAAATGATTTATGTCTTTAGCACTGCTAGCCTTGGTAATCTGTATTATACATGGAAAAGTAGGTATAAGTTTAAGAACTAATGATTACAATAGGTAGAAATGGTTCTGAGAAGAGAAAAAGGCAGCATTACAATAAGCAGTCCTCACTGGGAAAAGTGGCATGGCACAGAGACAAAAAACAATTAGGCCATGGGTCACTTTAGTCATACATAGTTGTATGACTCAAGCAAGGACCTTATGTTACAAACTCCAGCTTCTCCAATTGTAAAATGTGGAAAATATTAACTCTACAAATTACTTGGGAGAGATAGTCAATGGATATAAAAAATCATTTATGGACTCTAAGTGTTAATAACTTTCAATATCATGCATTTCTTTCCTTATGGGTTAACATTGTTTCAGGAATATTTTACATAAAAAATAATTATTTAGCTAGGTACTGGTAGCTCACACCTGTAATCCTAGCTACTCAGGAGGCTGATATTTGAGAATTGCAGTTCAAAGCCAGCCCGGGCAGGAAAGTCCGTGAGACTATAATCTCCAATAAACCACTAGAAAACCAGAAGTGGCGTGGCTCAAGTAGCAGAGCTCTCACCTTGAGCTGAAGAGCGCAGGGACAGCACCCAAACCCAGAGTTCAAGCCCCATGACCGACCAAAAAAGAAAATTAATTATTTACACACTAATGTGCAAGTCAAAGGAAAGGTATCATCTGGGAGCTAAAAAGATAGGCAAATTTATTTCAATTTCTCAATATGAAGAACGTGAACTACGGATCACAATAAAATAGCATGGTAATACTGTTTTTTTTTTTTTTTTTGGTCGGTCGTGGGGCTTGAACTCTGGGCCTGGGTGCTGTCCCTCAGCTCTTCAGCTCAAGGCAAGCGCTCTACCACTTGAGCTACAGCGCCACTTCTGGTTTTCTGGTGGTTTATTGGAGATAGGAGTCTCACGGTCTCTCCTGCCCGGGCTGGCTTTGAACCGCGATCCTCAGATCTCAGCCTCCTGAGTAGCTAGGATTACAGGCGTGAGCCACGAGCGCCCGGCAATACTGTTTTTTTTTTTTTTTAATTTTGTTTTGCTAATTATATTTCATAATTACCAAGCTGGATATGGTAGTGCATGCCTATAATCCCAACATTCAAGAGGCTAAAGTAGGAAAAATCACTGACTCAAGGATAGCCTGGGCTATATAATTAAGCCCTAAGTCATAAACTAAAACTAAGGATGTAGCCCAAGTGGGAGTGCTCAAAAGGCACTGAATTCATTCACCAATACCTTAAAAAGAAAAGGTGACTTTCTTTTTCTTTTTTTTGGGTCCAGTCATGGGGCCTGAAGCTCTGGGCCTGGGTGCTGTTCCTCAGCTCTTCAGCTCAAGGCCAGCGCTCTACCACTTGAGCCATAGTGCCACTTCCAGCTTTTTTTTTCTGCTTATGTGGTGCTAAGGAATAGAACCAAGGGCCTCATGCATGCAAGGCAAGCGCTCTACCACTGAGCCGCCTTCCCAGCCCAAGATGACTTTCTTTAGACAGAGTTAGTAACAACTTGGTTATCTTATTAACAACTGCACTTTTGATCCAGGCACTCTGGTAATCCAGCATTCCAGAGGCTGAGGGTTCTACATCAAATTCTAAAACAGCCTATATTACACAGCAAAGACCTTGTCTCAAAAAGATAAGTATTTCCTTGATTTCTCCTTAACAAATTAAATTCACAAGAAGTCATTAATCATCAATACAAACCTCCATCAAGGCTCCGGGAAGCCCGTTTGCTTGCTGTTCGCTCGAAGTGTGGAGCAGGCCTGTCAATCAGAGCACTAGCTTGCCTGGTCTGAGCTTGAGTCCGGCCACTGTATCGAAATTTGGATCCCAGGGCAAGAAATTTGCTTTTAGGAATAGTGTCTGTTGAAGTCAATCTAGGGGAAAAAAATCAGAGTAATCATATATATTAGTCTGAGATTGCAAATTAAAAATAAAATCAAGAAGAAACATGTTTCCTATTTCTCAGGGTTTAATTATAGTTATTAACTGATTTCCAATCAAGCAATCATTACTTTAGTTCTATGCTATGTCTCAAACAATCAGTACAATTTAGCTGGGACATAGATTAATATTATAATCTTCATCTCTTATTAACACTGTAATATCTTTACTATATCCTTGCATAATGTTTTCATCATTTTAAAGAAACAAGAAACTAAACCCCCAAATGAACTGACTTGCTTAAGGCCACCCAGCTGTTAAGAAACTGTGCAGTAACCAAGTGCATACCCAGGACTAACTTAGCTATAGACAGGGCAATGACAGGGCCCCCAGCTAACACAGGTGCTTCTTCGTCTTCTCTCCTCCTGTTGCACACCAACAGGTGCTCTGGGAATGTTAAGGTGTGCTTTTCAACTGAAAGGGGAAACTAGATTCATTTTGTTTTCCTTAAGATGATTTCATCAGAGCTAAATAAAAGTGCCTGTCATACAAAGAAAAGGATTTCAACAGCAGACTTAAAAATAGATACCTTCATAACTAATTTATCCTTGACAAATCCTTAAAGGAAAACAATACCTGAAAAATGTGTGATGCTCAACACAGACTTTCCATAATTTCTTAGCTGCTCGGTAACTAGGAAGTTTGAATCCAATGGTACTTTCATACTGTTCTTGCTACAAAGACACAAACAAACATGGAGCATGAACTATTATTGAGCTGCAGTGATACAGTACCAGAGAAATACTATCCTACCAAAAAATTATTGCAGGACTGGGAATGTGGCTTAGTGGTAGGGTGCTTGCCTAGCATACAATGAAACCCTGGGTTCAATTCCTCAGTACCACATAAACAGAAAAAAGCCAGAAGTGGCACTGTGGCTCAAGTGGTAGAGTGCTAGCCTTGAGCAAAAGAAGCTCAGGAACAGTGCTCAGGCCCTGAGTTCAAGCCCCAGGACTGGCAAAAAAAATCATTGCAAATACAAAGAATAGTATCAATTTAAGAAACATAGAGTACCATTTTCAAATTACCAAAAGAAATCTAGTCACAGAGGATGGCTTTTTCCAAAGCAAAAAACAAAACAAAACAAAACAAAAAGTCAGAAGATGTATCTTATATAATTTATATATTTTTTTTTGTTTTTGTTTTTTTTTGCTTATGTGGTGCTGAGGAATCGAACCCAGGTCCTTATGCATGCAAGGCAAGCACTCTACCACTGAGCCACCTTCCCAGCCCATATATATGTTATTTTTCTTCAGAAAACATTCATACAGGGCTGGGAAAGTGGCTCAGTGGTAGAGCGCTTGCCTTGTATGCATGAAGCCCTGAGTTCGATTCCCCAGCCACACATAAGCAAAAGGAAAAAAAGCCAGAAGTGGCGCTGTGGCTCAAGTGGTAGAGTGCTAGCCTTGAGCTGAAGAGCTGAGGGACAGCGCCCAGGCCCAGAGTTCAGGCCCCACGACCGGACCCCCCCAAAAAAAAAAAAATTCATACATAGACATATATACTGGGATTTTTTCGGAAACATAACTAACTTTTGATTGTCTAGACACGGCTTTTCCCTATATTTGGGACATTAAGCCAGAGCCTCATACATATTCGATATCTTTTAGCTGTTTTCAAGAATATAGTACCTATACTGACCACATTGCACAATGAGTCTCTGGGATTTATTCCTCAGCTGTTTCTACTGCTGGGGCTTGAACTCTTTCTTTGTTTTGATTATAAATTTGTCTAGAATATTTCTTTGACCTAAGTAAACTATATCCTGCCAGGGCCACCAGAACCCCTGTCCTGCTGTCCTCTTATCCATCTGTTCCAACCTTAAGCATGGAAGACAAACACAACATCTGTTTTGAATTCCTATTATTGCTATTATACTATGATTAGATAATATCATCTGTATTTTTCCACAAGAAACGGAAGTTGCAGTGACCCAGAATGTCACCTTCTCTACTGTACCTTGCTACTTCTAAAGCATCTACCATAGTCATAACACTCCACTTCTCAGAATCCTGCTGTTATTTAGTAAGGAAGGATTCTGGATTTTTAGTATACATTGAATAGTTGACATTTTGAAGTTAAAGACTTCCTATTGTTGTACTTATTAATATTTCCATGTTTATGTATTTCTCTGTCTTACCACAATAAAATGTAAGACTGAGGGATGAGATTCTTTTATTTCTATTATATTACTTATCCTTGGAATATTGACTGGCAGGAAGAAAGACCTCAGTAAGAAGAAAGACCTTGGTTGAATAAAGGATTCAAAAATTTCAGGTAAGTTTTGGGTTTGGGTTTTTTTTTGTTTTTGTTTTTGCTTTTGTCAGTCATGGGTCCTGAACTCTGGGCTTAGGCACTGTCCCTGTGCTCTACTGCTTGAGCCACAGCACCACTTCCGGTTTTCTATTGGTTTATTGCAGATAAGAGTCTCACGGACTTTCTTCTCGGGCTGGCTTTGAACTGAGATCCTCAGATCTTAGCCTCCTGAGTAGCTAGGATTACAGGTGTGAGCCACCAGTGCCCAGGCTTTAAAGTAAGTTTTAAATCCATGTGCATCAATAGATACTATGCTCAAGTAAATACCTACAGTATAAAATATGTACTTCAGTGATAATCTCTATCCAAGATTTTAAAGGCTGTACATCTAGAATTTTCAGGCTTGAATAGTGAGGAATCTTTCACCAGCAGATGGCAATATATACACGGAAAAGCTACCTCACATTTAGTATGGTCTTTCTGTTTATAGTTTTCACAGCTGTCATCTCATCTGAACTTCAAATCACTGAGATTAAGGAGGTATTTTCCTTATTGCATGATAAGGAAGCTGAAATTTGGGGTTTGTCTAGGGCCTTTTGTTTAGTAAGTGTCAGAGAAAGAGCTAGAGATTTGATTTTTTTATTCCTACATGAAAGAACTTTTTACTGTGCCCTGATAGCCCTTCAATATAAAAGTTAAAATTGACCATCATTATTGTATTTTCTAATTTGACCACTATTTAATAAATGAGTTTTCTGGTACAGATTTAAGCATCTACGTACATGGAAAATCTATATGCATGACGCCCTGGGTCCAATCTCCCCCTAAAATCTAGAACTTGACTTTAGAACACACTCTCAATAACATTATGTATACAAATAAATCTAAAATGTAGAAAGTAAGGGTTTAGTGGTATAAAACATGAGTAATCTGACCTTACAATTTTAAAATTTCACACTACTCAATTTCAAAATACTTTCCATTAAGTAAACAAGAACAAGTTTGCCACTGCAGGTTTTATTCTTGGCAATGATATATCTATATACAGGAGGAGCAATGCCCAGAAAACCAGTAGTAAGGAAGGAAAGAAGAATTACAGGACTGATCAATTTAGAAAGCAAAATTATCTGCCTGTGAATAGATAACTAAACAAACTCTTAGGGCTGGGAAGTTGGCTCAGTGGTAGAGCGCTTGCCTTGCATGCCAGAGGCCCTGGGTTCGATTCCTCAGCACCACATAAGCAAAAAGAAAAAAGCCGAAAGTGGTGCTGTGGCTCAAGTGGTAGAGCGCTAGCCTTGAGCTGAAGAGCTGAGGGACAGCGCCCAGGCCCAGAGTTCAGGCCCCACGACCGGACCCAAAAAAAAAAAAACACTCTTATATTATCTAACAAAGAAAATGGGAAGAAATGTTTGCTTGATTGGTTTTGCTTGTTTTTGAGATGGGACCTTTCTAAGGAACCCAGGTTGAGACTCTCTGCCTCCTGAGTGCTAGGATTATAGGCGTGTACTGGCTTGCCTGTTTTATACATGTTATATAGAAAGAAACAGGAATTCCGTACCTCTCCAGGCCGGATTTTGATGAAAAAGCTGCTACGTTTGTAGGAAATCTTTAGCACTTTGGGCCAAGGAAAACGGTTAATTCTCAACTTATCTTTGTAAACCAAAAGGCCACTAGAGCAGACACCTAGGATGATATCCACTCCCTCCAAGTCCTGAAAAAGAAAAGCACCAACATTTCAGTCTTATGCAAAGTCTCAACACATTATTGGCTATTATTAAATAATCTGAAGCAAGCAACAACTAAAACCAGTTACAAAGTAAACAACTGAAAATAAAGTTTAACTTATCATAATCAATAAAACTGTTTTACCTAAGTCATCAGGTATGACTTCCTGGAGGCCAGGATTTAGAACTACCAAATATGCATGCACAGTATAATTCTTCGTTTTAATAAGGTGGTAATCCCTCCAGATATCATGTTAAGAGTTGACTCTATTTCTGTTCAAACTCAGTCTAACAGAATATCAGATACTCAAAACAGCTGATGTTAAGTATCCTTAATTATAAATATTAAACCTAAGTAGAGGGAATACCAAATAAAAATGGTCATATTTTCAAGCATCTTTATTATAGAAATTCTTTTAAATATTAGCCATCTATGTAATTCAAGGAAAATAAAGTTCACCTAAATTAATCCCGAGAGATGACTATTACACTAACCAAAACCCAGCATTAAATGCTTGAATATTTTTTCCTAAAATGAGTATAGAGAAAAAGATAAATGCTTAACATGAGTTATACAGAAGAATAGCAGATGCAAAAATTCTGTGCAGCTTCAATGCAGTGACTATGTTGCTGAGAATTTTCCAGAAGATGCCCTCAGTTTTTAGAGCCTTTGGGTAAATGAGATGCTTTGGAGAAAGAATTTGACATTTGGGAAAGGAACATGCTACCTGACTCCTTCATTCCTGACTGACACCAGCCTCCAGCAAGGAACTAGAAGTAAAACCTAACAATTCTAGTCCCTGAAACATACTTGATTTGTTGTACTGATATTCCTATCATCTACTTTAGAGACTACAGAGTTATAGATCTGTACCAAAACAATCCAGAACAACATCTTAAGGAAAAAAAACACAAACATTTAATGAAATTTTATTAGCACAGAACTTAAGGAAGAAACTGTCAGATACTCAGGCTGGAGGAACTCTTTTTGTTTTTTTTTTGGCGGTCGTGGGCCTTGAACTCTGGGCCTGAGCACTGTCCCTTAGCTCTTCAGCTCAAGGCTAGCGCTCTGCCACTTGAGCTACAGCGCCACTTCTGGTTTTCTGGTGGTTTATTGGAGATGAGTTTCATGGACCTTCATGCCCAGGCTGGCTTTGAACCGTGATCCTCAGATCTCAGCCTCCTGAGTAGCTAGGATTACAGGCGTGAGCCACTGGGGCCCGGCAGGGGGAACTTTGAAAGGTCATCACAGACCAAATGCTTAAGTGTTCTTTTCTAAATCCCCACTAAGTGATTATTCTGCATGTCCTGGAATACCTCTTAATAACAGCCCTCTATGCTCTGAGGTTGCTCATCTGATAGTTGAAGAGTTCTGCTAAACAATTTTTCAAATTGAGCTGATCTATGTTTCCCTATAGATACCACTTTACTCTCTAAGTATATAATTTGGAGCCATAGTAAAATCTCTACTTCACCTATCACTCCTTGAAATATGTGAATATAGATATAACATCTTCCCAGAACTTTATTTTTGTGGGTAAAATAGTGTTTTTTTTTTGCTTATTTCCCATCTGGCATGGCTGTGAGTCTCCTTGTTAAGTACATAGTTATGCTGAGCCTCTGTTCTCTCCTTGAACTCTCCCTCACATCCTCTACAACCGCCCCAGCCATTTTAGAGGCTGAAGATGAAAGCCAAGCCAAGGCAAGTGCCTTTATTATTCACTCTCTGTTACATGGTATTAGCCAGGATTAAAGCTCAGGTTTCTGATGCCCTAACCTAGTGCTTCTCAAATGAAACACTGTGGTTCACTTGTGCATTAGAATCACTTAGAGAGCACATTAGAACAGATTGTTGAGCTCCACCCTCAGCTTCTGATTCAATAAATCTAGAATGGGACCTGAAATGTGCATTTCTAACCAGTTGCTAGGTGCTACTAAGTGCTGCTGACTCAGATTCCACACACTGTGAACATCATTACCTTAGGCTAATGGTTCTTAGATTCAAGCATATATTAGAATCCTTCAGGATGCTCATTAAATCTGGACATTCAGTGGCCTCTCCTCCAAAGTCAGTGAAAATCCTGGAGGAGCTTGTGAATTTGCATATTTAGTAGACATACCAAGGTGATTTTATGGTATTGTTGACTTTCTTTACTAGTTAGCTGGAGATTAGAGTTTTTTGGACTTTGCTGCTCAGGCTGGCTTTGAACCAAGATCCTCAGATCTCAGCCTCCTAAGCAGCTAAAATTACAAGTGTCAGCTACTCACACTGGCTGTTATATCTTTGGATATTTACAGTGTTTGGTTATGAAAATTAATCTGATGGTAGAATTTTATACACAATTTATACACTTAAAATTCTAACAAAAACTATTCTTTCTCCTTCCTTCCTTCCTTCTCTTCTTTTCCTCCCTCCTTCCCTCCCTACTTTCCTGCCCCTCCTCTTTCATTTGAGCAAGCTTTTGCTATATAGGCCAAGATAGCTTCCAATTCAAGATCCTTCTCATTCCCTCCACTTCTACTTTTTGGCAATTAAAATACCACAGATATAGCATGGTTCAGGTGGTAGGGCGCCTGCCACTGAGAATAAAGCATTAATTAGATACTGAGTTTGAGTCCCAGTCTCTAATAAGAAAAAATTATTTAAATAAATAAAATACCACAGATAAATGTTGGCAAGAAGCATTATATGAAACAAGAATTATTTATAATAGACCTGAATCATATAATGTATACACACACAAATTCATTAAAGCCAAAGTTTTCATTACCTTTGCTTTATGAAGATCAACTCCATACATAGACAACTTTTTGGCATTCTCAAGAAATTCTAAGTCAGCCTGAGCAGGAGTCATGGACCTATGATTGAATAAAAATGAAAAATTTAGTGTCATAGTATCACATATATGTTAACAGCAATTATATAATCAATTCACCTCATGTAAACACACAACGCACATACACACATATGTATAAATATAGATGTAAATACCTTTGCACACATACATACATGTGTACATATGATGTATGTAATATGTGTATATCAGCGTATATGTAAAATATATTTCAGAGTCCTGAAATTAATTATGGAAAGGGAATCTTCTTACGACCTGTGTCTTACAAAATGAGATCTTGAGGAAACAAAAAGTTGCCAATAGAGCGCTGGCCTTGAGCTGATGAGCTAAGGGACAGCACCCAGGCCCAGGCGGAGTTCAAGCCCCACACCCACCCACCCCAAAAAGAAAAAAAGTTGCCAAGAAGCAATCAGAATTTTTTTAATCCTACTATAAACAATTTTTCATTTTTCCATTATAAGCTATCCCATCCATCCAACAGTTCTATATCCCCTCTCTTCAGCCTTTCTCTGCTCCATATTTAAACTCCTCCCACTAATTTTCTTGCCAAGGAGATGACCAAATTAAATCCTCAGAGGGCATGGTGCAATTTACAATATCCTCTTAGCTGCCTTTTTCTCTCTATACCCCTGAATTGAGTTATTATGGAAATTAAACCAGAGGGCAGCTGATGTTACTTAACCGAGACTCTTAATGGGGGCAGGTTTGATGAAAAGAAAATTTCTGGTAACAGATGGTGTCCTGCCCACTAATCTAAACAAAATAAATTAGTTAATAGAAGCACACAGATAATAACACTGCTTTCTGTTATTAAGATGTCTTTATTACCAGGCAAATAATGAATAAGATTTGTTTAAAAACGATCAGTCTGTCTAAACATTCACTACAAAGGTTCTTCCTTCTTTAGAAGTTTCTTTTCTTTTGAAAAATGCTTATGAGCTACTATACTGAGCTTTCAAGACATAAATATCACTTCTAATACTGCACAATTCAGGCCAATTAATTATAATTTCATAGTAAAAACAATGCAGCCACCTCCCTAAGGGAAAAAATGGAAATGCTAGTCAACAAGACAAAATATCACTTCTAATACTGCACAATTCAGGCCAATTAATTATAATTTCATAGTAAAAACAATGTAGCCACCTCCCTAAGGGAAAAAATGGAAATGCTAGTCTCCCATAAGACTGCCTAAGTTATAGAAAGCAGCAAGGGTCTCATCATTTAACAAGGAAAAGTCTTCCAAACCCATCTGTCTTCACCCTCATTAAAAAGAACAAAGGATGCCTTGGAACAGCAAGCAAAGGAAAAAAACAGAAGTGGGGGGACCTCTGAAGTGAGGCTACAGATTTGTTGATAAATAAACTCAGCCTACCTGAGCAAACTTCACAAGCATTAACACATCATGCTTAATTTATTTATTTTTGTCAAGGCAATTTACATTTGGACAAAAGATAAAATACTGTTGGTCTGGGGCTGGGAAGGTGGCTCAGTGGTAGAGTGCTTGCCTTGCATGTCTGAGGCCCTGGGTTCGATTCCTCCACCACATAAGCAAAAAGAAAAAAGTCGGAAGTGGCGCTGTGGCTCAAGTGGTAGAGTGCTAGCCTTGAGCTGAAAAGCTGAGGGACAGCGTCCAGGCCCAGAGTTCAGGCCCCACGACCAGACCCAAAAAAAAAAAAAAACCAACAAAATACTGTTGGTCTATCCAGAGTTAAGCAGGCACACTGAGCAGGGAAGTTTACTAGTTTTTAAATTTTTTCTATTGTAATTATACAGGTGATATACAAAGGGTTACAGTTATGTAAGTCAGGTAATGAGTACATTTCTTTTTTTTCTCTTAATTTAATTTTATTGCAAGGGTGATATCAGAGGGGTCATAGTTACTTAAGTAATGAGTACATTTCTTGTTGAACAGTATTACCTCCTTCCTTATTTTCTCCCACTCTCCTTCCCCCCCCATTCCTCTCGAGGCTCCTTGCAATTTATTCTTTTTTAATATATTGTTATTGTAAAAATACTATACAGAGGGGTTACAGTTACAATGAGTACATTTCTTTCTGAACAATGTCACCCCTTCCCTCATTCTCTCCCAGTTTTTCCCCTCCTGTCCCTGTAGTTCATTTTCAACATCGAGTATAGTGAGTACCACTCCTTCATTTCCCTCTATTTGCGTCCCCCAAAGCTGAATTTCTGTGTCCTCCCAAAGCTGAATTTATTTATTGATTAATTTATTTTTGTCGGTTATGGGGCCTGACTCTGGGCCTGGGTGCTGTCCCTCAATTCCTCAGCTCAAGGCTAGTGCTCTACCACTTGAGCCACAGCACCACTTCCGGCTTTTTCTGCTTATGTGGTGCTGAGGAATTGAACCCAGGGCTTCATGCATGCAAGGCAAGCACTCTACCAGTTAGCCACCTTCCCAGCCCTGAATTTATATTTTAAAGACAAAAAATTGGGGCGGGGGGAACAGTGGATGGGAAAATTAACCTATATAGAAGTTTATATATTCAAGTCATTCAAAATATCTCAGGGAAGTTTTTGTAGCTGTAATTTATTTTCTAATACAAATAATATTTTTCTAGTTAAGGTTACTTCCAGTTATTTTAATTTTTCATTGTTATTATGTGCGCACACACTAGTCCTGAGGCTTGGGCTGGGAGGGAAGGTGGCTCAGTGGTAGAGTGCTTGCCTTGCATGCATGAGGCCCTGGGTTCGATTCCTCAGCACCACAGAAGCAAAAAAGAAAAAACCGGAAGTTGCGCTGTGGCTCAAGTGGTAGAGCACTAGCCTTGAGCTGAGGGACAGCACCCAGGCCCAGAGTTCAGGCCCCACGACCGGACCAAAAAAAAAAAAAAAAACTAGTCCTGAGGCTTGAACTTAAGACCATGAGTGCTGTCCCTGAGGTTTTGTGCTCAAGGCTACAACTTGACCCTCAGCTCTACTTCTGGCTTTATAGTGGTCAATTGGAGATAAGAGTCTCAGACTTACACTATGTTGAAAAATGAACTTTACAGTTTAGGCAGGGAAGGGGGGAGAAGGGGAGAAAGGGAGGAGTATAGTTGAGGAGGCAGGAGGGAAGGGATGGTAGGGGAAACACAAAGGAGGAAGCAACAATGCTTGATAAGAAATGGTACTCTTTACCTTGCTCACGTAACTGTAACCCCTCTGTACAGTATTTTCACAATAAAAAAACTTAAGCTAGGCGAAGGTGGCCCACGCCTGTAATCCTAGAGACTCAGGAGGCTGAGATCTGAGGATCATGGTTCAAAGCCAGTCCAGGCAGAAAAGTCCGTGAGTCTCTGATCTCCAATAAACCACTAGAAAACCAGAAGTGGTGCTGTGGCTCAAGAGGTAGAGCACTCATCTTGAGCTAAAGAGCGCAGGGGCAGCACCCAGGCCCAGAGTTCAAGCCCAATGACCGACAAAAACAAAAAACAAAAAACTTATTAAAAAAAGAAAAAAGAGGGCTGGGAAGTTGGCTCAGTGGTAGAGCGCTTGCCTTGCATGCCTGAGGCCATGGGTTCGATTCCTCAGCACCACATAAGCAAAAAGAAAAAAACCGGAAGTGGCGCTGTGGCTCAAGTGGTAGAGCGCTAGCCTTGAGCTGAAGAGCTGAGGGACAGCACTCAGGCACAGAGTTCAGGACCCACAACCGGACCCAAAAAATAAAAAAAAAAGAAAAAAGAAAAAAGAGCCTCAGACTTTCCTGCTTGGAGTGGCTTTAAACCATGATTCTCAGATCTCAGTCTCCTGAATAGCTTGGATTACAGGTGTATTATTCATTTATTACTTACTTATGTCACTATGGACTCATAGGTGGTGTTGTTTTGTTTTGCAGTGTTAGGGAGGGATGGAAATTAGCACCTTATATATCCTGAGCTATATCCCAGGTTAATTTTCATTTTATGCAATGCAATAGAATGGATTGTTTTCCTTGTTTATTTTCCTGCTTAATTTGTCCCAAATTTGATTAGGGTAGGCTTCGCAAGCTAGATACTCTGTCCTTCTAAACATTTCAAATCATTTATGGATCATCTTCTTCCAGCACAATGTAAAGTACTTGGGTATGTATGTATAAATCTGCATTTCTCTATCCATCTGCCTATCTATACATGGGAAATCAAGAATTAACATTGAAATCTCAAGTGTTAATACAATGTCACAGGGTTCATTTTAGTTTTTTTCCTTTTCATAAACTGCATATTATTTTACCAACTCTCATCTTGATTATTTTGACTAATTTGATCTATTTGCCCATCCCACAAATCCTATATAAAGCCTAGCACCAGTGGCTCCCACCTGTAAGCCTAGCTACTCAGGAGGCTGAAATCTGAGGACTGCAGTTCAAAGACAGCCCAGGCAAGAAAGGCCATGAGATTCTTTTTTTTTTTTTTAATTGTCTTCTAAAGATGCTGTACAGAGGGGTTACAGTTACTGAAGTAAGGCAATGAGTACATCTCTTGTTGAACACTGTTATTCCTTCCCTTGTTGTTTCCCACTATCCCTTCCCTCCCCCACCTCTTCCCCAATCCAACCCCAATCCAAGTTGTAAAGTTCATTTCCAATATACTGTCTTGTGGGTATCATTGTTGCAATGGGTCATGCTGTGTCCTTGTTTCATTGTTTTGGTATTCCCCAGGGCCATGAGATTCTTATCTCCAATTAACTACCCCCCCACACACATACATACAAAACACACACAGCTGGAAGTGGAGCTATGGCTCACTTGAGCACAAAAACGCTAGCATTGAACACAAAAACTCAGTGGTAGTGCCAAGCCCTGAGTTCAAGCCCCAATACTAGCACAGAAAAAAATAATAAATAACATAAAATCCCATATATAATGAATTTCATTGCTACCACTGGTTCCTGATGTACATGGCTTCCTCATCCTGTATAGACTCTCTGCTGGCCTGCTCCCCACATATAGATTGATTTCCTTTCAGCACTGATTCAATGTTAAACCACCTCTTAGGGATCTTCATCACCCTGTTCATCCATGTAGTT